GTAGTAGTGATGAGGATATTATTATTGGAAGTATTGCACTAAAGAAAGCTAGGACTTCCATAAAAAAATATTTTGAAGATGTTGTAACTCAGTATACTGATGATGAATTTAAAAGATATTTCAAAATCAGCAGAAGTTTGTTCCTTCAAATAGTAGAACAGTTTTGTCAATCAGAAGATTACATTACGTGACAATTAATTCACCAAGATGGTTTAAAATCCAAGGATGACAGCATTGTTGTAACAATCATAACCTTGAACTTTAAACGAAGTTTGGTTCAACTTTGACTGTCGTACTACTGGTCCTTGTCAGTTCTCCCAACGTGGTTTAGCCACAGTTCAGCTAAACTTGGTTTAAAGTCTCCGAGGATATCATTGGTGCAATCTTGGATTGTTCAGATGAACTTTGGCCGAACCACATCGGTGCAACTTAGCCATAAGTCTGTAAAATAGAAAATATATATATATATATATATATATATATATATATATATATATATATATATATATATATATATATGTGTACATATATATATTTTAGAAATAAAAAAACTTCCATTTTATCCAAGATTTTTATTATTTCATCCTAAGCATGCTATATAGTATATTGGAGAAAAGCTATAAAACACAGTAGAATACATTTCATTAAATTACATATATAGATTTGAGGTAGGTATATATTATAAAAATCAATATATAATAAAAAAAACATACCTGTAGTATTCATTGTAGAATCATGAATAGCTTTATATTCCCTTTTATCCATTTCAATCTGGATTCGAGTTTTTAGAAATTGCGATCTAAAATTAAAAAAAATACGATTGCACTTAACTTTTAGATTGTACATACAAACAATAAATTTGTTTATATCGTACCTGCATGTAATTTATTAACTTAACTCGAGTATAACAAACGTCTCAGTGCTAGGCACTAGCTACACTTCCTACATTAGTGTAGGATAACAAACACAACTGGTGTGTAATAAAAACATTGCCCAACTAGTAATACCAATAGTCACTTAAGTGTAATATAGGGTTTAAATTAATGATATGTGATTTTTGTTTGTATTCTCATAAACATTTAGATAATTTATTTTTTTGTGTATAGTACTAATTATTTATTTTTGTAGGCTATATTTGAGACCCTGGAAGAAACAATAAGTGATCTAAAACAACAGTTACGAGAAAAAGAATCACTAATAGAGTCTCTACAGACAAATTTACATTCCAGTGTGATAGAGAACGACCATTTAAAGAAGCTAATTAGGTAATATTCCATTTCATTTAAGTGTGTTTTAAATCTTTTAATGCGAGACAATAATAGAAATAGATGTACATAATAACATATACATACTATTTACCGAACGGCATTTTTATTTGGCTTTTATTGACTCCTCACCAACTTTTAGCGACATCAGTCTAGAGATAAATAATAGGTTTATATTAAGGGCACAGACAAGATTTTACCGAAAGGGGAAGTCAAATTTTTGTAGCCAGCATCTGTTCATAAGCAACTAATTTTTCTAATATTAGTAAATACAATAGTAAATAATCATGTATAATTTATAGCTGACACCATATTTTGTTTCAAAATATGAACTATTGAAAGAAAATTTTTGTATTAAAGGGAATCATTATATAGGGTGGGCCAGGTTTTAATAGGGAAACTTAGGGAATCGATAGAATACGCCAAAATAATATGAATTTGTCATAAATTTACAGCTTAGCATTTCTCCGGAAATAGTTGAGACATTGTTATGAAATTTAGAAGGGACACAACTTGAATATATCTCGAATCATAGTTCTCGTCTCTCCATTCGAAATTATTGTTTTATTTACTTATTTATTTATTTATTTATTTACGGGTAATCCCATTCATTCACAATAAAAAAAAATAGTTATAATAAGTTTATACTGTTACATTAAAACTTAAATCTAAAGTATAATATAAAACTGACTATAAAGTTGTAAAGTTAACAAGCTTTGTTTAACCTCATAAGAAATTTGACAATTATTAAGTCGAAGCTCAAAGGTTTTGTAATTTAAGTTTGTTCTTGAAGTGTAACAAAGAATTGTTAAAAAAGTCTAGGTTGATACTATTGGCACCATGAGTAATTCTTGCTATGGGGGAGTGTTTGCCATAGTTACATCTGTGGTATGTTTGAGCTTAGGTTTGTTGATTCCTAGTTTGTCTAGGAGGAATAATTAGACCAAATTTGGACAGCAAGTCTAGGCAATTTACATCCGAGTTGATAATTTTAAATAGAGAACGACCTGATCTGTATAATATCGACGGGTATTTAGTTTGTCTATTCCGATTGCAGTTCTAATTTCATCGAGTGAGAATTCGTACAGTGGTAGCTTGAATTTATAGGCTGCATATCTTAAGAATTTGTTTTGTACTTTTTCAATGCTGTATATGTGAGATTCATATGTGGATGACCAAACTACAGATGCATATTCTAATACAGGTCTTACAAGTGAATTGTATAAACACTTTTTTGCTGAGACGCCAACAAAATCATTAGTAGCCCTACACATAAATCCCCACATTTTCTGAGCTTTATTATTTATCACCTCATAATATAAATTGTAGTCCAGTCTGCTATCCAATGTTACACCCAGATCCTTCATAGAGGTAACGGTTTCTAATAGGCTGCCATTGATATTATATTGATATTTTATTACATTGAGTTCTATGAAATGTCATAGTTTTGCATTTTCCTATGTTAAGCTCTAATTAGTTTTGAGAACACCATTCACAGAGAGCATCCAAGTCCAACTGTATTTTATAGCAATCGGTTTCAGAATTGATAGTGGTAAATATCTTAAGGTCATCAGCAAATAAGAGAAACTGAGAATTATTTAATACATACTTTATATCATTGATAAATATATTAAAAATAAATGGACCCAGATGACTCCCCTGTGGTACTCCCGATGTTACAAGTATTTGATCAGAAACTGAATTTTCACAATTTGTGTTCTGTCACTAATATAGCTAGTTATCCAGTTGAGTAATTTCCTGTGAAACCCAAATGCATTTAATTTTTTACAAAGTACGACATGATCTACGGTGTCAAATGCTTTGGAAAATCAGTGTAGGCTGTGTCAACTCGGTAGTGATTCTCCAAAGCATCCAATACGTACTGGACAAAAATCATTAAATTGGCGCTTGTAGATCGATCTTTGCAAAAACCATGCTGTTCCTCTATTAAAACCTGTGTGATTTTCTCTTTAATGTCATCACATATAATGTTTTCAAAAATTTTTGGTATGGCATTAAGAACACTTATAGGCCTATAGTTGATATTAGCTTTATCCCCACTTTTAAAAATTGGGGTTATGAAACTATTTTTCCATTGTTTTGAAAATACTCCCAGTGTCAATGATGCTGAGAAAAGAATGAATAATGGTCTTGTTGAGGAAAACCTACACTCTTTTAACAATAGTGGAGCCACACCATCCAGTCCTGGGCCTTTATTAATATCTAGCATATTTAGTTTATTGAAAATGATTTCTAAGCTAACGTTACAGGTATTTGTCTACTGTTTGGTCGAAAGAAATATCATGAACATCATTTATGATGCGGGGCTTGTATACAGATTTAAAATGATACGAAAATAATTGCTGATTTTATCACCATTATCGTGAAACATGTGATTCGGTAAACCAAAATCTTTTCTTTTAGAGTTCATGTAATTCCAAAAACATTTTATATTATTGGGAACAGAATTTTTTATATTTTCCACATATCTCTTGTAACATTCTCTATTAAGTTCCTTACATTGTGTCCGTAAAAATGAGATATATATAATCAGACCAGTTATTCGTGCTCTTGTATTTTTTATGAGCTTTCTTTTTTTCAATGATCAGAGTTTTTAACTCGACTGTATACCAATGTGGAAATTTAGGTGTTTTTTAAATACATTAATGGAACAAAAGAATCAATTCCTAGAGCCAAAACTTTGTAAAAAATACCAACTGCTGCATCAATATCTTGTATTACAGGTCCAAGTAGAGCATCCCAATCGACAATGGATAAATAGATATTTAGGCCTAAATAATTACCATTCTTAAAATTACAGTAATAAGTATCATAAGTTAAGATATCAGTACCTGTGACAATAAATTGGAATGCTCACGTATAGAGCCGGATGGTGAGAATCACAATTACTAGGGTAATCATCTGCTATATTTACCTGAGCTTCAATATTGTGAGTAAAAAACAGATCAAGAATGACATTGTAACAATTGTTTACATGGTTTAATTGAAAAAGATTGTGAAATGCAAACCTGTCATATATAGCTTTTGCTGCCAAGCCAGCAGTATTGGGAACACATACACTATTTGTCTACTTTAATTTGGGCAACTTGTAGTCTCCCCACAAATACATTTTACATCTGAACTGTTCCTGCAAAATTTCATCCATAGAATTCAGTGATCTTCGTATACACTGAGTGGTGAATTTGGTGGTAAGTACACCCATCAACTAGAATATCTTTATGACCAACTTTTACAGTGACAAATACTTGTTCTAAATTTGCATATGATGATGGTATAAGCTTGGATGAAAGATTCTTACGAACATCAATGGGTACTCCACCACCTCTGGATTTTGTGCTTGTTATTTCTGATCTGTCCTTTTGGTACACGGTATAGTTGGTAAGACCAAGTTCAGTATTGTTAATTTGTTGATCTAGCCAAGTTTCTGTAAAGACCAGTATGTCATAATTAGAATAGACAGTACTGTATGATAATTCAGTCATTTTGGTTCGAATCCCACATATGTTTTGGTAATAAATGAGAAGATTGGTGCCTATGTTCATAGGGTTACCCGTTTTAAATGGATTTTTTGATTATTATGATTATGATTATTATGATTATATTAATAAAAAAAATGCAAAACCATGTAATTTTTTTGAAGGATTCTCAATTAACAGCCAATTGATACGTAGAGGATGAATGATTTTGAATTGAGTTTAAATGAAAGACAGTTTATCCTGGCTTTGTGGTTGAGTGGTAAGGACACTTGCCTCTCACCCAGAAGTCCCGGGTTCGATACCCGGTGGAGGAGTTAGGATTTTTTCTGAACTTGAAATTAATCCTAGCATACTCAGACATTGGATGTGTTGTCCATTGTTCTAAATATGTAGTCCTCTCTCACACAAGGTATCTTGTGGTACCTTCAGGGATAGGGGAGTTGTATTGCCTGTGATGTTTAATAATATATATATATATATATATATATATATATATATATATATATATATATATATTTTTTTTTTTTTTTTTTTTTGTGAAGAATATCTTCGACACCCCTCACCGTCACGCCTCTGGTTGGAATAGAGATATGAAAACTATGGTGTGAAGTGTACTGATGTACGCAACGCTCACCTTCCGAATTTTCATAACTATCTCAATTATTTCCAGAGCAATATGGGAAAAACTGAAAATAAATTAAAACTAAGCATTTTTAGTAATAAGTTTATATGACAAATCCATATAATTTTTATGCGTTCTATCAACTTTTTAAGTTTCTCGATTCAAATCTGGTCCACCCTGTACTATATTCAAGATGAAAAAAAAAGTATTTATTCATTTCATGATCAAAGTGTGTAAATTTATTAATTTTTAATTTATTTTGGAAATAATATTTTATATAAAACAGATATTTTAAAGAATATGTTAGTATTTTCTACAAAACATGTTTTAAAATTATTTATGAGGCGATGCCCTTTTAAAAGTTTACTGAAAATATTTTATTATCTCTTATACTGTCATTAGATTTTGATTATTCTATTATAATATCTAAATTCGCATATTTTGGGTTTTCCTGCAGTTTGATTAATTTCTTTATTTCCTACTTGGATAATAGATTACAATACGTAGCATACAATGGGTTTAAGTCGGATATGTATACGGCTACGTCTGGAGTTCCGTAGGGCTCCAATCTTGGACCGCTTTTATTTCTTCTCTTTATTGATGATGTCACTAAAGTGATTGACTGTGATAAGCTCCTGTTTGCAGACGATCTAAAAATATATGCTAAGATTAACTCAATACAGGATTGCTTATTCTTACAATCCCAGGTTAACTTGCTTATAGAATGGTGTACTACTTCCAAACTTAATCTAAATGTATCTAAGTGTAAAGTCGTAAGCTACTCACGAAAGACAAGCCAATTCTATATGAGTATTCTCTAAACGACCAAGTGTTAGATAGGCAAAATTCAACAAAAGATTTAGGCATACTGTTTGATAATAAATTATCTTTTGCCGAACACATAAACAATCTAGGACTATCATCCTCAAAAACTTTAGGTTTCATTATCAGAAATTGTAAATCTTTCACTAACGACGCTGCGTTGAATGTTCTTTATTATTCACTTGTACGTTCCAAATTGGAGTATGGATCTCTAATTTGGTACCCAATTTATGAGAACCATTCAACGTATCTCGAATCTATCCAAAGAAAATTTTTAAAATTCTTAGCTTATAAAAATGATCGTGTATATCCTGGTCGAGGCTTCAACCACGAATTACTTTTATCTAGATTCGAGATGTCATCATTAAAGACTCGACGGATTATGAACAGTTTAATTTTTCTCCACAATCTGCTTCATAATAAAATTGACTGCTCACCACTTCTTGAACTCCTTAATTTTAGAGTGCCAACTTTCAATTCCAGACAAAATATCACTTTTTACACACCTAATGCAAGAACCAATGTCATTAAAAAGTCGCCTATTTACGTTATGTCACATAATTTTAACTCTGTATCTGATCTGTGTGATATTAATCTCTGTTCAGTTCTATCCTTAAAAGAAACCATTCATAGACACTTTCATCCATAGCTTAACTATCCCACCATTATTGTTATGTTACCTATTTTATTGAATAATTATGTTTATAACTCGATCTAAACTGCTGTCATTATTATTTTATATTATTGTCAACCTATAGTGCTATATTATTGTAGTTATATGTATTACTTTGTTTAAGTTAATTCTACTATGTATCCTTATAATATAAATTTTTTTCTTATTGTATTTCATACATTTTGTCCTGTAAGTGGATTTTCTGTTGGGCAAATAAATAAATTTATTATTATTATTATTATTATGTTGAAACACACTGCATGCGATTTATTTGAGTTCTTTTTAATACTGTATGATATTCGTCACAAAGAATTTACACTTTGTCAGAAAGCTCAATTCTATTTGCGGCCGAATACATAAATTCACAGATTAAGCCTACATGGTGGTTCAAATTTACCATTGGAATTCTCCTACCTGAACAAATAGAGAGCATGTTAAACATAAATAAACATTAGTAAGTGTCTACTGCGCGGCGATCGGTTACATATTAATGTTTGTTTAAAAAGTTGTTAAAACAGTTTTAGTTATTCATCTTTTATTTTGTTGTAGTGCAAGCGATAGTAGAAATAAAGTGTTTCTGGTGAGAGTAGTGGCCTATTCTTTAAACCAATAAGCCCTTGAGTACTTGTGACTTTTTAGTCGTTATAATTGGCGCCCAACGTGGGGTGCCAATTATAACGACTAAAAGTCACAAATAGTCAAGGACCGGTTTTATTGGTTTAAACAATAGGCCACTACTCCCGCCAGAAACATTTATTTTATTGTAATGCAAGCGATAGTAGAAATACATTGTTTCTAGCGAGAGTAGTGACCTATTGTTTAAACGAATAATCCCGGCCCCTGAGTACTTGTGACTTTTGGTCTTTATATACTGTGAATAATTTTGTCAGATATATGGCCGCTTACCATTACAATATATAAATTAATCGACAGTATTTATCTAATTTGATCGACAAGTGTATAAATATTCTGTTTTATGAACATGTCCAAATTTACTTAAAATCGTAGCGGAATTCATCTATTATTTATTGATTGATTTCAACATTCATTATTGGCACTGGTACTGCGATTGAATTTTAGGAACATCCAAATTACTATAGATTATTTCATCTAGAATTGTAATAGTTTGTTTTTCTAGCTGAGATATTCATGAACTTTGTAAATTTTTTTTTTTTTTTTTTAGGAATTCTACAATGAATTTTCAGTAATGTCAAAGGTGTGGTAAAAGCACCATATGCTTTTTTATTGATAATAACATTATAAGTAAAGTTTATGGGATAAATGATATATTTGCTTTAATATTTATGTTATAAGATACAAATAGTTATCATTGTTAAATTTGTTAAGATAACATTGAGTGTATCATGTATCAGTTGTTATATTTTTACAATTGTTATAAAAGGACATACAAGTTTAACAATTTCAGTTTTATTTATTATGCCAAGATCATTCTTCCTCTAACGTCAATGATTATAAAAACAATGGACACTGGTCGTCTTGTTACCAGAATATTATAATGTCCCAAATGGGTGAGGATTGGGGAGGGTCTATATACATAATTGAGGTAAATTTTTGAGAAAAATTGTCAATCATTTTGATATCTCAGTTTTTGGGGTATAGGAAAAAATATATGTTTATTTAATTTTCGAAAATCTAATTCCCATTTTTCTGCTAATATTAATATACTAAATTATTAACAGAAAACTTGGTCTCGGGTAGGTGCACGTAGATAGTACTTTCTCATACTCATATTTAATTTGGCATGAAAGAAATAAGATAAGTAGGACAAATAAGACAAATACGATAAATAAGATGAATATGATAAACAAAAGACAAATGATAAATTGGAAAAAATTAAATGAAAAATGAGGTAAATGGTTTCATTTGCCTCATTTTTCATGAGACAAATGAAATAAATGAGACCAATGAAACAAATAAGATATAGAGATAAAGGAAATAAATAAAGCAAACAAGAGAAAAAGATAAAGCAGGAGATACATGAGACAAACGAGATAAATGGGATAAGTAGGAACATAAGATAAACGAAATAAGCGAAATAAACGAGGTAAAATAAATAAAATAATTTATTTACAGATTGGATATGATGAGAAAGTACTGTAGAGACAGACAACTTTTTTTTTAATAGAATGAAATTAATTTTAAACCATTTTTCTCAACAATGGTTAATCTGACAAGGCATTTTCAAGAATCCTTTTCAGCACATTTCCTCTGATTTCTATTTGAAACTTTGTGGTTTGATGCAATTTTTTTTTGCCCCTTACAGACGTGCCCTTTCTGGTGCACCAATTTCACTGATATTCAATAGGGTTCTTCCCTGGACCATCCAGATAGTATATGTAAAGTTTCAAATTTCAATGACGAGATGTGTTTGAAATAATGATAGCACAACGATGTTCAGCGACACACAGACGGCATGTCGATTCGTAAAATTTTCTATTTACAAGTCGCAAATCGTCAACCATAATTTGATTTTTTGCACGATGCCAATCAGTATAGACAGATGAGAAAGTAAAAATACAATTTGATTCCCTTACTTTTTGGATGTTTCTAAATAAATAAAAATAAACAAGTTAATACTAAATATTCAGATAATTTTCCAGAAATCCGTCAAGATTGTGGAAATGAGAATACCACTGACGGTTCTTCTATAGGGTCATTTGGTCAAAGACCTCCCACATACAAATAAAAAAATAGAGCTATTCATTTTCTGAAGTTTAAAAATATATAATATATATATATATATATATATATATATATATATATATATATATATATATATATATATATATATTTTTAATATTCTTAAAAAAATATATTAAAGTTTCTAGTTCATTCTATGCACAATACTATTCAAATATCTAGAATATCTAGGTCGCAGGATTTCCTATCCCCTTCGAGCACCGAGCCTCTACATTCATATTCATTACATTATTCATTTATAGAATTTAAAAATCTTGGGTCAATCCACAAGCTAGCTACGGACCGAATTTACAACGAATTAAAGTGAAATAGACTTATGCGCGAATTGTCAGAAAGCAAAAGAGACAGAAAACACTGGCGGGGACAATGTCCCTGACACATTTTACGGAAACGATAACATACGAACATAGAGGTATGTAGTCTGTGCGCACGAAGTTTAGTAGAGCAGTCTTAATGCTGACTAGGTACGCGTTGGT